GTCGAGGCGAGTGTTCTAACCAATCCTGTAGTGTATTGCTTAGAACACTTGCCTCGAAAGCGAGAGGACTCGGGTTCGATTCCTGGGCAGAGCGAAACTTAAGCACATTTCCTTACACCACACGTTTCTGTTTACCTAGCATTAAATAGGAACCTGGTTGTTAGTAGATTGGCAGATCGTTTTCTGCAGGAAGTAATCTCTTCAAAAAAAATTAAACAATAATAATTTGGTCACTGAATCCACGATTGTTTATAGGACACCACCGTGTGCAATTGACTGCTGCATTTTGCCTACAAAACATTAAGTGTTGTTCACTCCACTTTACAGTGTATCCTGTGAAGTGCTTTGAAATGTCTCGAAGACATGATAAGGGACTATATCAAATGCAAGGATTATTATATTATTATTATTAAATCAACAACGTAATAAGGCACTATAATAAGTACAATTATTATTATTATCTTACTAGGTCCCTATATTACGTGAGTGCACCACAGACCCATAGTATAAAAGACATGTGTTACACTTATAACCTCCAGTGCTGACAGGTTGACTTCCTGTGCATACAACCCACTTTAAGGTCTACCTCTTTGACGGCGCCTTTGATCATCTCCCCTTGCTCGGGATCCAACCCCATCACTGTGTAGTGTTCCAAAATGCTATCATGTGAAGGGCGATATATAAATGCAAGTTGTTTTGCAACTTATAGGGGTAGAAGACCATTTTTATAAGCAAGCCATCACAAAGTGGGGTCTAATTTTATGGATTGGAAACCACTGCGTTACAATGGAGTCTGGCTGTATTAAAGCAACATATGACCCTTCACACAGGATAGTGTCTCAGAGCATTTGAAAGCAAATTTGTGTAAGGTAAAATATAATATCACATTGTTCTGACAAATTCAGGCCTTAATTTTAAATAATTGGCTTGTGATTAAAACATTAACCAAATGCTTTCAACAACAACAACAGCAGCAGCATTTATATTGCACCCTTGACGCGGGGCAGTGTTTTGGAGCGCTTAACACTGATGGAGCCTGATGCCAAGTCGGGAGGAGGGCGGAAGCGACTGTAAGCACGGTCGAAGAACAATCTAAAAGAGGGGAAGGAGGAGGCAAGGTGAAGGGATTGTGAAAGGGAGTTCCAAAGCTTTGTAGTGGAAGAAAATGTGGCCGCCATTGGTGGGTCAGAGTGGACGAGGGACAAACAGGAGACCAGAGCCAGCCAAGCAGTGGCAGTGGGTAGTGGAGTGAGGAGAAGGAGGCCAGAAAGGTAGGGAGGTGCCAGGATGTGAAAGGATTTGTAGATGAGTGAAAGGATCTTGAAATCGATTTGTTCTGTGATAGGGAGCCAGTGGAGCCTTATGTGATGGGGGTACGGAGTTTAGTGTTGGTGAGAATATGGGTGGCAGAGTTCTGAATCAGTTATAGTTTGTGGGTAGTGGAGCTGGGGAGACTGGCAAATAGGGTATTAGAGTAGTCTAGGCTCTCCGGGCTGTCTTTCATCAAATTGAATCAAATCATAAAGCATTTAATTTTGTTTCAGCATCATGGAGTCCTGTAGCTCAGTGGTTAGAGCACTCGCCTTGCAAGCGAGACACCTGGGTTCAATTCCAGGCAGGGCAAAACCTTGGGCAAGTTTCCTTACTCCACACGGAGCCTAATAATAATCCCTCCAAAAACACAACAATAATAAATTGGTCATTTTCAATCCATGATTGTTTGTGGGACACTGCTATAAAGTGAATTGACTGTATATTTGTGGGCGAAACGCAGCAGCGTTTTTGTGGTCTCCCCCACAAGTGGAAACATCTTCCCTATGTCTACCCTATCAAAACCTTTCATCATTTTAAAGACCTCTTTCAGGTCACCCCTTATCCTCCTCTTTTCAAGAGAAATGAGTCCAAGCATGTTCAGCCTTTCCTGATGGTTATAACCTCTCAGTTCTGGGATCATCTTTGTGAATCTCCTTTGCACCCTCTCCAGTGCCTCTACATCTCTTCTGTAATGTGGGGACCAGAACTGCACACAAGTATTCTAAGTGTGGTCTAACCGAGGTTCTATAGAAGTTTACCATAACTTCCCTGCTTTACATTTCTATCCCTCTAGAAATGAACCTCAATGCCTGGTTTGCCTCTTTTATGGCCTTATTAACCTGCATTGCTACTTTTAGTGAATTATGTATGTATACCCATAGGTCCCTTTGCTCCTCTACCCCATTTAGGTTTTTATTTTCCAGGATGTATGTGACTTCCTTATTCTTTCTACCAAAATGTATCACCTCACACTTTTCTACAGTGAAATGCATTTGCCATTTAAATGCCCATTCAGTAAGTTTACTAATGTCTTGCTGTAATTTGTTGCAGTCCTCCTCTGTATTAACTGCTCCCCCCAATTTGGTGTCATCTGCAAATTTTGAAATTGCACTGCTGACAATATAAATTAAATCATTAATGTATATTGTGAACAACAATGGTCCCAATACTGATCCTTGTGGAACACCACTGCCCACACCCTGCCAGTCTGAGTAGCTACCCTTTACCATGCTCTCTGTTTTCTGTTTGGGGATTATAAATATGGGATATATCACATTTTGTAGACTGACGCTTCAGCAGCAGTACTGCGAGTGTTGAATTGTTGGAGGTGACGTTCTTTGGATGAGATGTTAAACTGAGGTCCAGTCTGCCTGTTCAGGTGGACATTAAAGATCTCATGGCACTATTTGAAAAGAGAAGAGAGTTTTTATCACAGTGTCCAGGGCAACATTTCATGGTTGTTTGATATCTCTTTAATATCTAAATGCTCCCCCTTGGTGACATCATCTGCAGACATGGGGTCAACTTCCACATGTATGCGGATGACACCCAACTCTATCTTTCTGCCTCCACCCTCAACTCCAGGACCACTGCTGTCCTGACAGACTGTCTGTCGGACATCAAGTCCTGGATGAGGGCAAATTTCCTACAGTTGAATGTGAACAAGACTAAGGCCCTCCTGATTGGCTCACACCAGCGCCTCTGCACCTCAGGCTCTGGCAGCATCAACCTCCATGGTTGCACACTTCAACTCACCAACCTAGTCAGGACCCCAGGTGTCTTGTTCGACCCTCAACTGTCTTTTCTTCCCCACATCCAAGCCACGACCAGCTCTGCCTTTCCTCACCTCCGTAACATCGCCCGACTCCGCCACTACCTCACCCCTCAGGCCACTGAAACTCTTGTTCATGCCTTCATCACCTCCAGGCTCGACTATGTAAATGCTCTGCTTGTCGGCCTCCCAACTCCTCCCTCCAGAACTCTGTAGCCCGTGTCCTCTCCCACACCAACCTCTGTGACCCCATCTCTTCCACTGGCTCCCTATCCTTTAGAGGATCCAGTTCAAGATCCTGGTCCTCACCTACAAAGCCCTCCATGGCCTCCCCCCTTCTCCTCCCCTCCCTTCTCCCCCCCCTGACTCCAGCTCAGGTCTGAAATGCTGTACACTGTCCAGCGCCTTGGGACGTCCTCCCGACGTGAAAGGCGCTATACAAATGTCATCTTGTTGTTGTTGTTTGTGGAATATTGCTGTGCACAAATTGGCTGGCAATTTGCAGTAAATCCTGTGAAGCGCTTTGAGACATCTTCCTGACATGGAAAGCATTACAATATATTAAATGCAAGTTTTTTGTTTAGAAGACTGCTAAAAACCTGTCTCCCTGACTGTGTCTGCAGTCACCTCCCTCCTCCCCCATCCTCCCTATTTGGCGTCTAGCACCGCCACTGCAAGGCATTTCGAGACATGAACCAATGTGAAACGCTCTATATAAATGCTATTTGTTGTTGCCGAGACACAGCGCTGCAAGTCTTGCCTGCTGCCTGCTATTGTATCTGTTGAGTGCTAATGGACATTTCTTCCTGCTTTTTGTAAACATTACCTACCGTGTTTGTCTTCTAGCTTGTGTGTAACTTCCTCAGCTATTTGAGGTGTGTTTGTATTACATGGCATTGATTGAACAGGAGGTAAACTAAGAATGGTTATTTTAAGGACAAAACATGTGCAGTGATTGTGCGTGACTAGGGAGATGCTGCATTATAAATAGATGTCTGATTGTGATCTGGGGAATTTCCTAAAAGTCTAATGTGTTTCTTTTTAAATGAACTTCAAAGACATTTTGAAAATGTTTTTTATACATTGTAAACAGCCTGTTTAATGAGATTAGATGGCAGTATGTGAAATCGGTTCTGCAACACATAACATTAACCTTCAGTTTTCTTTGTTTAGGAGGTGGGCGTAATACTACTAATGCTTGCATTTGATATAATGCCTTACACATCTTCGAGAAGTCTCAAAGCGCTTTGAAGAATATACTGTAAAGTGTAGTGACTGTATATTTTGTGGGCGAAACTCAGCAGCCAATTGCGCACAGCAGTGTCCCAGCAGTAATCTGCACTATCTCACCCAAGAGGCTGTTCTTCAAATCTCTGTCAATTATTTGACAATTGAGAGTACCGATCCTAATCTTATGCTAAACCCATCCATTTTTCAGTAGACATCTGTGAATAGTTACCAGAAGCAGAAACGCTGATTGATATCCCTCTCCCTACCCAGGGATCAGCCAACTAACTCAGACTGGGGATCAAACATGTGGCTTTTAGGTTACAAGATTGGTTCAGATGAAGAATACCCTTTGGTACATCTGAACTCAACCCTCCAGAATACCAAACTGCATTGCCCTCCCATCACAACATCAAGCTGCTTTTCAAATGAGTCCAGGGTCGTGACATCAAACACCCTTCCTGGTAACTTGTTCCAGTCGTTAATTACCCTCTGGATAAAGACTGTTGAGTTCACATTACTTTTCACTTTACAAAGTGGCTTTACAAACTGAGTGATTGTGGGAGCTTTTAGTCAGATTCCCTTATGGAAACCTGGTACAATCTGATTTTGTTTTTTTGTTGAAGTTGCCTCATGATGTAGTCAGGGACTGAGTGGTGGATTGATGTGCCATGTTTCTTCTCTGCAGGTGATCCTTTCAGGAATCCTAGGCTTAACAACATGGAAAAGGCCGATGTTGCTTTTGGTAGGTAACATTTGATCCTCTCTTGCATTGATTTGGTTCTTTCCTCCACACATGCAGGACACTCACAGAATCTTCCATTCAGCCTTCCATTCAGGATGGATCAGGCTCAGAAACAGTCACTGAAAGGGTATGCAAGCGTGTATTAATACGATAATACAATATTTATACTGTGAGACATGATATACTATTTGCTATCAGTGCCTAACTTTTCTTTAAAAAAGAAATGTTTCTGCAGAAACATATCAACATAGAAGAAATTGCATTCAGAGTGTGTTACAGGTAATAGGAGTTATTTTGAGTTACACAGCGAGGGAGTAATATAGGAATTTTTTCTTGGTATAAGAGCCAACTGTAACGTATCATCTTGAAGAACTGAAAATCAACTGCAGCATTGTTACAAAGTATTTCATGATTTAATCCTATGAGAAAGATGTGATGTAAGTGTTTGTTGAAGCAACAGCTTCAGAATCTTGTCACTGTTGTCAAGACTGCTGTTTGCAGAGGTAAAATGTACATGGTTATGTTTCAGATACAATTTTTCAGCCATTTACATACCTGCATCAACAAACAGTATTTTGTGTTTTTTTTTACATACCAGCACTGTTTTCTTTCAAACAAAATAAATAAAATATTGTATCCAGATATTGTGTTGTCATTCTTTACTTCCAAACATTTCACGTTTTTAAAAAAAAAGGATTTCTAATACATCAAGCACCATTAGGTATTAAAAACAGTCACTGAAAGGGTATACAATAAGTACAATAAGGTGGGTTCTTTCTGAGGCACAAAATTCATGTGAGTTTTGACTTGGTTGAAGTTATCTAAAAAATGTTAGGGAGTCTAAATTTAGTAAGGGCCTGATATAGATAGTCCAATTCAGTGTTACTCACTAAGGTTTGCTTGTGAGCCATAATTCTAAGCAGTGTCTTGCTCAAGAATCATTCGCAACATTGGCTAAGCAGGCCTTGGGGGAGGCCTGGAACTGATCTTCAGCTCAGTCTTCTCCCAAAGAAAGTACCTGAGCCAGGCAGCTTCCCAGTATTCCAGTGCACTGCTGATGATAGCACAACCAGCCTCGTTCATCAGCAGGACCTGGAATGACAGACCAGTCACTGGGGACAGGGAATTGTCCCACTTAGCTCCTGTTAATCCTGCAGGCCACTGTTCTAATGGATAGGTTGGTCCTAGTTGGACAAACAGCGGGAAAACTTGCCAGACAGCAATATCAATGGCAAGCTATGCGGTTTTATCTGGTTAGACTCCAGCATTTACCCCAACGCACACTCTGGGGTCCCCAAACCTTGACTCTTGCCAACCTGAACCTAGTACTTTCCAGAATTAGGAAAGCAGGATGCGTCCTCCAGGGAGAGAGTGCGCATTCCATTCCAACAATCTATCTCTGGGATTTCCATGTGTAGGTGAGATGCATGGAATTCGCAGCTTGTTTTGGATACTCTTAAGCATGGTGATGGGTTTCCATATGTGTTAGACACCCGGCTGACCGAAAAAAAATAACAAAAAAGGTGCTTGGTACAGGAGTGGAAACAGAGGAGAAAAATAAATTACCTGCAAATGGGAGGAAAAATTCTCTCTGTTCTCCCTCTTTATCCTCTTCTCATGATTTCTTGCAATTTTCTGACCAACAATCCCCTGAATAAAGTTGTCATTCACGTCATGGCTGTTTGTGGGACACTCCTGTACCCAAAATGGCTGCCGTCTTTACCTACAAATACACGGTCACTGCACTTCCCAGTAAATCATGTGAAGAACTTTGAGATGTTTTCACAACGTGATAAGTTGCTGCATCAAACACAAAGATTATTTTTATGATTCTCTCCTCATTTGACCAACAAGATACAGGCTCTAGATTTTATGGTAAACTCCTGTGAAGAGCTTCAAGAAGTCCTTCTGATGTGAAAGAAGCAATATCGAATGTGAGGATTATTATTCTTTTGCTGCCTTGATGTTTCTCCTCAAAACAGTTACTGATCAGTTAGCCTAACATTTTTTAGTAAACTCTATACAGGAAGTTATCAATGCTCATATAAGAGATAGCTTTATAAGCAAATCCACGTTATAACAGAGCGAATTAGGAGCATTGATAACTTCTTGTACAGTGTTCACTAAAAAGGTTAGGCTAACTGACCCGTAGCTTCCAGTTTCATGTCTAACTCTTTTGTTTTAGAATATCTTCCAATTCTGAGCTCCAGTCCACTGTTTATGAAGCTCCTAAAGATTTGTAGCTAATATTGTGAGGTCCCTTACAGCCTCCGGCCTCAATATTGATTTCAATAATTTCAGACCATAACAGCTCACCTTCTCTCTCCCATTCTTCTATGCCCATTACCACATCATCTGGGTCCCAAACACACCTTTTCTCTCTCTGGTCTGCCTGTTTTGTTGCAATTTCCGCCCCCTCCACACACACTTTATTTTGCATTATTAACACCTGTTTTCCCTGCTTTGTTTCAAACCCCCCACTTTGTTTTGCATCATTAACACCTCGTTAACCCATCATCCCCTGTCCTATACCCTCAACTGTCTTTTCTTCCCCACATCCAAGCCATGACCCACTCTGCCTTCCCTCACATCCATAACATCGCCCGACTCCGCCACTACCTCACCCCTCAGGCCGCTGAAACTCTTGTTGATGCCTTCATCACCTCGAGGATCAACTATGTAAACGCCCTGTTTGTCGGCCTTCCCAACTCCTCCCTCCACAGGCTGCAGATAATCCAGAACTCTGCAGCTCGTGTCCTCTCCCGCATCAAACTCCATGACCCCATCTCCCCCATTCTCACCCGACTCCATTGGCTCCCTATCCTTCAGAGGATCCAGTTCAAGATCCTGGTCCTCACCCACAAAGCCCTCTATAGCCTCGACCCACCCTACCTCTGCGACCTCCCCTACCAACCCGCCCGCTCCCTCCGCTCAGCCGGCACTGGCCTGCTCCACATCCCCAGACCCACCCGCCCCACCATTGACGGGAGAGCCTTCAGCCACTCTGCCCCCAACCTCTGGAATTCCATCCCCCAGTCACTCTGCCTCACCCCCTCCTTAGCCTCCTTCAAGTCCTGCCTCAAGACCTTCCTCTTCGACCATGCCATCGGCCACCCCCCTTCTCCTCCCCTCCCTTCTCCGCCCCCCCCCCCGACACCAGCTCGGGTCCGAAATGCTGTACTCTGTCCAGCGCCTTGGGATGTCCCCCGACCTGAAAGGCGCTATACAAATGTAATCTTGTTGTTGTTGATTGTTTTCTCCTTTGTTTTTGTATTGATCCTTGGTCTCTTATTGACAGAAAGATTGATGCAGACCATTAAATAATAATAATTTTTGCATTTGATATAGTGCTTTTCAGGCTTCTAGACATCTCAAAGCCCTTCACAGAATACGCTATAAAGTAAATCGACTGTATATTTGCGGCAGCCAATTGCACACAGCAGTGTCCCACAAACGGTATTGCATTGCAGTGACCAATTTTATTTATTTTTCTTGAGGGATTATTGTCAGGAGTGTGGAGTAAGGAAACTTGTCCAAGGTTTTGCTCTGCCAGGAATCGAACCCAGGTCTCTTGCTCACAAGGCAAGTGCACTGAGCTACGGGACATTATAAATGACATTGTTCTGCAACATATTCAAGGTAAAGGATCTTGATGAGAGAACATGCTATCAAGCATCAGTGTAATGCTTCCTCCCTATCATATTATGTACTTGACAGCACTTTCAATAAATCACTCTTACAATCTTCCTTCCTGTGATATGACATCAACATTCTTATGGAGATTTTCTCACACAAAGAAGAAAGTAACAGACATTGACAGCGAAAGTAAAAAATGACAATTTGACTGGAATTGCATAAAATGATGATAAGAGTGTGGAATTTCAGATTATACAGTAAACTCCTGTTAACTCATCACTCCAAGGGCAAAGCAACTAGTTATCCAGACTGGCGAGTTAGGCATAGGTTCTCCTGGTCCAAAAGAAGGTGCTGTGATTGGTGCAGGGAAGGTTGGGCACACATGCTGAGGTGCTTTGCAGGTGATACTGGATTATTGGAGGGCCATGCCTTGGCCTCCCACCCTATTCTGTGCCAGAGTAAGGTGGGAGGTGGGGCGGGAGGCCACAACACAGCCTTCCAATAGACCAAAGGCTTTTGCAATGCAGCTGAGCACGTGCACCCAACCTCCCCCTCACCAGTTACAGGATAAGGTGGGAGGCCTCTGTTATTCAAGACGCCACCTTATAGGACGAGTTATCCGATCAATTTTACATTGTAAATACAAGAATTTCTAGAATGTGACCAATTACGTGTTAAGCGACTGACAAGTAAAGGGGAAGTAGCCGGGATGCTGACTTAAGTGGTAACTAGCTAAGCCAGGATCGAGTTATCCAGAGTTTATTGTACCAGTGAAACATGTTGTGAATGATCGCTATGCTCTTCACACAGTGGTGAGGAGGGAGGGGCACGTTCTCTCTCGCTAGGGTTGAGAGAAAAACCCTTGGAACTTGCACTGGCAACCAAATAGTGTATGTTGCCATGATAACCTGCACCGTTATTTGCTACTTCCAGTTGCTAATATCGAACACTGTCTAATTGGAGAGATTTACACATAGGCCAGTTGCAATTTTAGAATGTCGGCAAAGGTCACAGAGCAAAATGGCCAGAGAGTGCACAGAGGAACAACCAGCTCGGTTCTACAGCTAAGTTAGTGAGGGTTGAAAAACGCACCATTTTGTAGCAGATTCAATGGATTCTAAATTTACATCAACACCGTTCCTGATTAATACTCTTGTCAGTTCACTGTGTTAACTGAAGTGCCAGCTCCACCTATTGTAGACCTGGATTGAACCTAAATTTAGATGATTGACTTCCTCCCTCTTTAGGCTTCTGTAAAGCAAGCATCAGTGTGAGTCTCGCAGAGCCCTCTCTTAAAAACTTCCTTAGGGAATGATGAAATTCAGGGAGGGGTTTAGGTATAAAGGGTCTCCTTGGAGATGAAC